AGCAAAATCTTTTTAAAGGAAGGTTAACCGCAAATCGAACGTAAAATGAACAGAGGAAATGGTAACGAGTTACCTCATTGAAGAATAGCGCTCGCCTTCTTCAAAAGGTTTGGCACCGTTCTTCAAATCTGATTTGCGATCGGGTTATGGGCAGGGGCGGCGCCACGGGTTTTCGATAGGGGGGACGGGGACCGAAAATCGAAAATCCCAAAAGTAGATACTGATCGTGTATGCAAAAAAAAAAACGAGGCACGTAACGCCGCGAAACTTGGCAAGGCCCAAAACACATCGAATAGTGCATCCCGTTTCCAAACTTATCCTAGGACACCTAAGATCGATCACCTTTTCAAGCATCCTTGCCTCTAAATTAAAATTTGCAGTCTTGCCAACTCAAAGCTGGTTTCCTACAAGCTGCGAATTGCTTAGGTATGAGTAGCAGTGCCAGCTACTCTTACGTTTCGTACTTTCAAATTTTCGATCTTACGTCTGGTCAGCTTCAGGGCTTCACCATCATATAGTCATGGAGGAAAAGTGGGAATGTCTTCTGCTCTGACAAGTGCGCCAAAATTGCAATATAATTTCAGAATCATGACATCACCACCTGATCCATATGCAACGGGCAGGGTGCAGCTAATGGCTAGCCGTCAGTGGTCATGTCATCGGTGGTCACTCAAAAGGCCATGCTAGGTCATGGAAGGTCACCAGCCGTTATTTGATCACACTTTCTGATTGATTTTACTTGCCAAGAGCTTTGCGGGAAAAACGAGCGCATGCACCGTTGAAAAAAATGAGTGAAAGGGTCTCAGGTCCGGCGACCTCTGCAGGTGAAATGCCCCAGGGTAGGATTCCGGTGCTTGTTGATTAACTTCGTCAAAAATGGCAGTAGAGCTGTGATGTCGGCACCATTGTGTTCGTCATGATCGAGCTGGCGCGACCTGCATCGTTCTCATATTCACCCTCCAATCGTAACAACTACAGCAGGGATTGGCAAATGGCGGGGCACTCCCTTTGGGAGGTAATGAAGGTCTCTGGAAACATCATCCCACATCCCTTTAGCATTAGTGGCTCTCCTTATGGAACAGGTTTCTTGACTGGTCTGTTTCACCCCAGAATTCAAAGACTAGTCAAGGTAAAGCCGAGCGCACCACAGTGAGCACAATTTGATAAGCTGGTGTATCTCAATTTTCATGTAGAACCTTTCACGTATCACGTACCTAAAACCCTTTCGTGCACTCATGCAAAAGCAACTGCCATGTTTCAACAGCTGGTAATGGCATTTTCACAGCCGCTGACGTAAGAAGAGGAGGGATGGGGGGCTCGATTAGACCCCCAGCCGTTCGGCCGCCGACCGAACTTAGTTTTGCAGAAAAAAACGAGTGCTATCGAACCCCTTGACGAGAGGGAGCCGATGCTATATCCAATTATAAGGTCTTGGGCTACTGCGTGCTTTTTTGGTCCTGCCTGTGATCTATCCGAACACTTCTCCCCACAAGTGCTGGGGTTAAATGGCATAGATTTCAAATGGTTCCTGTGGTAGAACTGCCATGCTTGAATTTGACTAATTAGGAATGGAAAATTTTCATATAGTAACGGAAATCTATGGAATTTCAGTGAACTTGGTTTTATCGGCAATGGGGTCTGGCAGTGGGGTGGGGAGGTAATAAGTAATAACCCTGCCTGGCGCCCCAAAAAGGGGGCACGATCCCCGAGGCCCTGCCGATCACCTTATAACTACAGGCATCACAGCTCCACACCTTTTGCAGATGGCCAGGACCCCCTGCGATGCATCCCAACAGCAATATTTATTCAGAACCTGCCTTGATTAACCAACGATGCATTAAATGCGACGGATAGCTCTATAATGCATTATTATCAACTATTGAACGGGCCTCGCCGATAGGGGGGTACTGTACCCCCCTAACTTTCGATAGCGGGGGACCTGTCCCCCCCGTCCCCCCCGGTGGCGCCGCCCATGGTTATGGGCTATGGCACAATTTTTCCCATTGGAGCTTTTTTTCTAATACAGCAATACGAAAATCGTTACATCGTCCACTGGCAGATCCAGGGAGCGGGCTTATAAAGCAAAAATTTACTCCCCCTCCCCTTGCATCGCCCGAAATAGACAAAACGTACCCTGTTTCCTAATAATAAAACTTTTATCAGAATGTTTTTTGCTTTATACTGTTCAGCAGTAAGGAATCGAAATCCGAGGAGTTTTTGGATTTTGGACACTTGGGGGGGGGGGGGTATGTCCCCTACAGCGTCGAAAACGCCTTTCTGGATCCGCCTATGCCATCATGTCGACTGGGATCTTGCCCCCCCCCCCACGCCAAAATCGAATCCGCCGCCACTGCTGCAATGAAGTTGCAATGACGTGTTGTTAGGCGTTTTTCCTTGCGAAATTGATTTTTTACACTGTGCGTCAACATCTTCATTCCTTGAAACTTTAAACCCCGTTCATATGATAGCCCTTTTAGTTACGATAATTTCTCTCATTGGTCTTATTGTCATGCCACTTATGGATTTTCCGTAATTTTGTGTTATTCACACTATGTTCAAATTGCCCCACATGTTCAAATTACCCCACCCTACCCTATGCTTGTATTTTTCGCTTCAGGCTCTGACGCCAAAATAATGAATTTCGTAGTCGCAATCGCAAGATTTGGCTGCGTTTCTGGCGCATGCCGTTCATTTGTGGCGCAAAATAATGTTAACAGTGTCATTTCTCTAGGCACTATGTACCCCCGAATTAGAATTTAATTAATTCTAAACCGAATTAACTCTAATTCAAATTAGAATCCTTACAACCAAGCAACGACAAGGCGATAACATAAACAAAAAACCAAGCGTCGCTGTTTGAAACAAAAGCGCCATATACTGCGACTTTTATAGAGAAGGACAACGCATTTCGGTGGGTGTTACAAGTACTGCAAGTACTGCTTCTTTTTTGCAAAAATAAAAACCTTTTTCACATACGAAAATGTGCTAGGAAATTTTCATATTTTATAGAAACTACAGTAGAAATAGTATAGATGTCGAGTAATTTTTATTTAAGAAAAAAGAAAGCTCATTATCTCCCTTTAAGCGCGCCATCGCTTTTCAAAACGATCAGTGCTGCATGTTTGAAACGATACCAGTCAATCTCTGCTAAGACAAATATGGCTCTCCCGTATTGTAGGATGTATTCGTGGATTCCGATTATGGTAATTTGTAGCGCTCTTTGGGCGAGATAATATAAATGCAAGTTATGACAACACCTGACGCCAAAAGGCTGGGAAGCTATCACTAGGAAGATACCTATCTGCGTATTTGTTAAATCAATTCGATTGCATAACGAATGCGTTTGGTCTTGGGTACCTAAGCCTTTGCATGTCGAAAGCACCTTCAAAGATGTTTATGCGTTGACAGGCCAAGTAAGATGCACAATAAAATAGGAAATATGTGAGAAAGAAATACAACAAAAGGTTGAGCTTTCCATCCGTTCCATGAACCGCCGACGCCATCGGCCCCGTGGCAACAGCGGGGCAGCCTACCTCCCGGGTCAAAGTAGGTCAGCTGTTACTAGGTCATCCCCGGGGACAAGGCAGGTCCGCTGACCTTGACCGGCCGGCGGCCCCGGGCGACGGGCGGACAGGGAGGGGGGGGGGGAGATGTGGAGAGGGCTTCCACTGATGTTTAGTAGGGGAGAGTGGGGTAATTTGGCCGGTGGTGTAAATTGGCCGCCCCCACCTGTACGAAAGCTGATAAAAGTGAATGAAATAACTTAAGTCTCTATTCATTTGTCATCGGCAGAACTAACTCGAGAACAAATATCAAAACTTTCCCCCTCTTAGTTTTATTCAAAATTAATAAAACGTGAATTTCGGTAGAAAATGGAACTTTTACTTCCGTTTAAAAATTTGTATTACATGTAGTATTTGGGCTGTAAACGAATTCCAACATTATAGCGCCATTCTTGAGGGTGCTCAGCGGTTTCAAGAGCAATTTCATCTAGTTCTGTACAGCCATGACGACTTTATAGACAAAAAATTTCAGAATGGCAATGTGGGGTTATTTGGCCGGGACTAGCGGGGCAACTTGGCCGGTGCGCTCAGAGTCACTATGCTGGGACGGCCGAGTTGTCATGGTCAATTATACCATAAAGGACATAATTCATGACCAACTTTGACTACTTTGATGTCATATTTCCTATTGGACAGCTGTAAGGGCATGTGACGTCATCAACGGTTACCTAACGCTTTTTTGCTAATAAATACTAACAGGAAAAAAGATACAACCGCGCAAATGGTCTCATTGTGTTCAGCTCGTCAAGGCGCATCGAATGATATACATGATGACCTTGAACTCACGTAACCTTGAGGTCAAGCGACCTGAGGTAACGTGACCTGAAGCCAACCTTTGACCTTGACCTCTCGAGGTCAACACATACCTACATGTTTCGATGCGGAATGACGAGAGAATTACGACGGTACTTTTAGTTTTGGCCTAGCTTGATTACTTCAAAAGTTATTCATAAAAAACTGTCATCGCATCTAGAACCGCTATTTTGACTATTTTCGACCCCTGTGACGGCTGAGTCAACCTCCAAAATGCTTCAAATGCGTCGTAGGACACGCGTCATTGCTGAATGTGAAGCTGACTCGCCGATAACAAAAATCATGGCCTCAAACTAACACCGGCCAAATTGCCCCACACCCCCGGTCAAATAACCCTGCTAGTGGGGCAATTTGGCCGCTTTGCAGACCTTTGTAATACGTCACAATTTCAATATAAGTAGTTACCCTATCATTTCAAGTTTACTGTCCAGGAAAGTAAAATGTATGGCACACCTGTCAGCGTTGAGAAAATGCAGAAATGTGTTGTCGATTTTTAGTTACACCGTTTTCTAAAAAAAGCGGCCAAATTACCCCACTCTCCCCTAAGCATCTATAAAAATTAGAGACGTAGTGTGCATAAAATATGAATTCATGCAACAAACAATAATCTTCTTTTCTCCTCAGATGACCGTCGGAACGGCAGTCCGCTGCTGACATACGGCACCCACCGCGGCGTGGCACGTGGCCGCGGCGTGTGCCACTGCGAGCAGTTCACGAGCTGCACGTGCGCCACGGGGGAGCACGTGCCACGTCCGTCTGACAGGAATATGACGGAGAGGCAGCGGGCCAGGGCGACGGTGGCCACACCGCGTAGTGAACGTGAGTAGAGGGAGGGAGGGAGGGAGGAATTGAGAGAGGGAGAGAGAGAGAGAGAGAGAGAGAGAGAGAGAGAGAGAGAGGGAGAGAGAGAGGGAGAGAGAGAGAGAGAGAGAGAGAGAGAGAGAGAGAGAGAGAGAGAGAGAGAGAGAGAGAGAGAGAGAGAGAGAGAGAGAGAGAGAGAGAGAGAGAGAGAGAGAGAGAGAGAGAGAGAGAGGAAGGAGGAATTAGAATCTTCAGTGAATCTCGATCGATCTCACTAAAACTGTAACCTGAGCACCTCAGATTGTACCTTACAACAGTAACTACTCTAACTACACAGAAATGCTCTTTAGATAATTTTCCCGAAGAATGCAACAAACAACCTACCGGGGTCCACACCGAGCGTACCACGACCTATCCTCTTCAGCGTAAATCCAATGATTCGTCCACTCTTCATCAAGATTGCGTTCACTCCGTTTTATTTCATTGCTAAAAGATGCACCGGCCGTCTCCCGCTAGCGCCGGGCTGAATTCATGGCCCGTTTCACCTTGACCTAGTTGGCTGATTGCCAGAGTTTTGGGTGGTATCACCGGGCGCTTAATCGATCTACGCTGACGGCTCGTGGCATCGCCGCTAAATTGAAGTAACTGATAGGTGGCTCGCTAGCTGCTCTAGCTGCTTCAAAGATGTTCCAGATTGTCGTAGTTTGAAAGTGTAGAGGACGTGCAATGACCCCAGTGACCTCTCCCTTTGACTCCCTCCGTCCCTTTTGGAAGTTCTTTGAAGTCAGTGGCACAGGTGTCTCTTTAAAAACGCGTCAACTTCTCGCACCGTCGGCCTATCTCGCCTAATTCTTGCCCGCTCGTGCAACCAGTGACGACTGTGGCCTTAGAAACGTGTCAACCGTGTTCCTCCCCCTACTGACTTTCCTTCTCGTTCCACCTTCCCCTCTAACTCTCCCCTCCCCTGACCCCTCTCCCGCTCGTGCCCCGCAGTGGCGGCGTCTCCGGAGAAGCGGGTGTGCGGCACGGCCTGTATCACCGGCTCCTCCCTCGGCGCCGTCCTCCTGCTGGCCATGATGCTACTCGTCTGCCTCATCTACGACTCCAGGTATGTAGGATTGTGGGATGTTCGTCTATATGATCTGCGACTCCAGGCATATCCGTATGACCATACGGTTATGCCTACCATACGGATATCTTATACATACCAGTATAAGATTTGAGCGCATGTGTGTGCTATAAGATTCTAAAATATATGTCTTCGGGAGCTATGAAGTTTGGAGCATACTTGGCCGTGATATAAAACTTCAGCGTATCACTGCCTGTGGGGTAACAGTCTGGGAAAATACATAACAAGCTCGGCCTGTGGTTTTACCCTATTCCTGGCGGGGGGGCCTCAGGAGCCCCCCCCCCTGAGGTTTTTTGGTTATTTCTCCCAAACGCGTTGAGCTAGGAAGCTCAAATTTTCTGACTTTTCCTAAAAGGCTTCTACGCAACATGTCTGAAAATTTTGAGTTGATCTGACCTCAGGTCAGGTCACCAGAGGCGGTTTGGTGACCCTACCTCAGAAAAGTTTGCAATCACGCCAGAGCTAGAGTTTTTGACCGATCAATTTCTTCTCTTCAGGCTTTAGTTAGGGTACCAGTATGTGCAATTTGTATATCTCGGAATTTTGATATCGGTGACCTAAGGTCAGGTCAGTTTCGCGACCTCCCCATTATAAGTCAATGGGGGAAAAATCAACTCCCTGTTTTTACCACTAAAACGGGTCGGAATGGCCCCATATACCATACATGACTTCATATACGATCAACCTTCACTACCTTGAGGTCTGTTTTGCTGTTGGGCAGCTGTGAGGTCATGTGACGTCATCAAAGGTCACCAAAGGTTTTTGGCCAATAACTCCGTACAGGAACAAGATACAGACGCGTGGATGGTCTCATTGTGTTCAGCTCGTCAAGACGCATCGAATGATATACATGATGACCTCGAGGTCACGTGACCTGAGGTCAACCTTTGACCTTGACCTTTCGAGGTCAACATATATATCATTCGATGCGGATTGACGAGAGGATCACGATGATGCCCTTAGTTTGTTCCTATCTTGACTAATTCGAAAGTTATTCGAGAAAACTCTCTCCATATCTAGCGCCGCCATTTTGACTTTTTCGACCCCTGTGACGTCATCTTTGACCTGACCTGAAAATGACCTTAGTAAAAATTGTAGACCTTGTCCATGCGTATCCGATGCCGTTTACGGCTTGTCGCTATCTTGCTTCGTTCTCGAGATCTCAGGGGGGGCCGAATCGGCCCCCCCGCCAGTTTCTTGTCCCGGCGGAGCCCGCCAGGAATAGGGTTTAGGATCTCGGTCTTTCACATTTTTTTTTTCGCTCGGCTGCGGACGAGTTATCAGCTAAAAATCGAGATAGGATCTCAGCTGGTGCAGACATTATTTACAAAAGCATCGCTGTTCAGTAAAACACGACGCTCTTCTTACCCAGAAAAAAATATAGTTTTGGCTCCACTGAGGATGTGGAATCGAACTGCGTGATCCGTTTTTCTCTCAGTAACGCTCATTTATCTTAGTTGAATCTCTGACCAATTGTATGTGGACCCTATACAATCTGACCTTTGACCTGTGACCTGGACTTCAGGGCACGACTCTGAAATTGCACCGTAGATTAGTTCCAACCCGAAACGCAGAACACTTGGCTAGAAAAAAATAGGAATATGCTGTTAAGAACCCTGGAGAGCAGCAGCGCTTATTGGTCGATAAATGAGCGAATCATTATACTTTATCAATGCTCATCTTTTATCATTGAGATATAATAGCCTTTGCTCATATTGAGTTCCGAATGGTAAATGAAATGCAAAATTCTTTGAAAAATACCTATATTTCGTCCATGGGACTTCTTCAGGGTCACAATCCCATGGACGAAATATAGGTATTTTTCAAAGAACTTTGCATTTCATTTACCATTCGGAACTTAATATGAGCAAAGGCTATTACTATATCTCAATGATAACTATTTTCCTTCTAACAATGCTCAGCACAGCACTCCACCAAAAATGCTCATCTTTGATAGACCTTCGGTTCTCGACATTTAACCATTTAATTAAATCCGCTGATCTTTTTATGTCGGTTTCAGGTGCGGCCGGTCGAGCAAGCTGCGTAAGGACCCGTTCAGTGGCGAGGTGATCTCCCTATCGCACATAACCGGAGACATGGATTTGGGAGGTCGCCAACAGATGGCTCTGCCTCCGGACGCCCAGTGCGCCATCTCGGCCCAGCTGCTGGAAACTGTACCGGTGAGTGGGAAGGGATGTCAGAGATTGTACTGGTGTGGGGACGGGCTATCAGAGACTGCACTGCTGCAGGTGTTGAGCTGGAGACGTGGATAATAGGTATGGTGGTAAAGAGTGTTTAAGAGAGTGTCGCAAGTATGTCCAGAAAAGAGGGCGACAATGATGAACATTCATTGTCAATCACATTCATAATGATGAACATTCATTGATTGAACATTACATTGTCAGGGGCTAAAACAAGTAAAATTAGTGCATTTCCATTTTCCATTACATAACGAATCATGTTTTTTATTGATGTCTCGTTCAATCAAACTAAGCGAAGGAAGATAAGCCGTTTCTTCACCGCACGATTTGTTCTGCAGTTGACGTATTTGGGTTTAGATCCGGCTGAAAAGCCGATTCGATCTACTTGTTGGAGGTTCTTATCATGTTTTAACGACCACCACAGCCTGGTTTCTATGGCAACGCCCACCACGCGTCGCCTTTACTGTTCTTTCGATGTGTCTGCTTGTGACCAGGGTTGTATACGACTCAAATTTTTGGTGAGTCGATTCAGAAGAGAGTTTCCTAAAACTGAATCGACTCGACTCATGATTCCAAAAACTTTAATTGAAATGATTCGATTCAACTCTTGACTCAAACATGACAAGAAATATATGAATCAATTCGACTCATGATTCAAGCATATTTTCAGTTTAACGATTCGATTCAACTCATGACTCAAGGGTTCTGTTAAATAATTTGAATCAACTCATGACTCAATTCTGATTTAACTCATTGGACATACTCATCGAATTATTCAACATAAAATGTTTGTGCAAACCCAAGAAATACAGGTAGTCGTAAAGCAGGCGTCACACTTATTTCTGCAACCATAGAGAGGCGCTGTACCCAGAGATGCTTTCTAATCAACCCAAACCAAACCAAACCTAATCAAACCTGGCATAACCTAACACAGCCTACAACCTAAAACCTACCACCTAAAACCTAAAATCTAAAACCTAACCTACAGCGCCTCTCCTTTGTTGCAAAAAGAAGTGTGACGCTTGCTTTACTATGTAGTGAAATCCATTCATGGATGCATACTCCATATGTAATTCCCGACAACTAGTGAACTAACTACATGTAGATATTTTAAAAAAGCTAACATTAACCATTTTATTTATGTATGAAATAAAAATAAAGAAAAACATGTTGCTATTATTATTGAAACCACATAACACACCTTGCATACCTATAATGTAAATAAAAATGTCAGCAGCAAATCAATATGTACCTAACTACGTGCCAGCTGCAAGCCAGCACAGTATTGATTTCTAAATAAGAATGCAAATATGAAGCCTTTAATATATGACAAATATGAAACCAAATGTAAGGCTAATTAGAATCTCAAAATGCAAAGAAAAAACATTTTGTTCATGCCCTGTTGCCTTGTGGCCTTGAGAATTTAACAGACAAGGTTTAGGGCAAGATACCTATAAGAAACGTTTAGGGCATAATCCAATAATGTAGTGTGGTTCACTTTTTAAAGGTATAAACACATGACGTCAATTATCTTAACCTTAGCTTTAGCTTGTCATAACTAATTAAACTCAAAATAAATAAACCAATTTTTATTAAATTTAGCAAAAAAATACAACACCGAGCCTAAAAATGGGCGTTTGCGTTAATTATAAATAACAAAGTTAAATAAAACGTCACTTTCCAGTTGATTTGCGTTATGGTAGCGTTTTTTTAGCTATGGTAGCGCCGCTACGATTTTTTGCTTTTCCTTTACGTTTGGGATATGGCAGCAATTATGATTGTCGACAGAAATTGCTAATAACTTACAAATACTCTTATCTATGCAAGCTCGAGAAACATTTGTCCACGTTAATGACGTCATACAATTTTAATTTGAAACCAAATCATGTTATATTTTTTCTTAACATTTATCATTTTATTATTTTCTGGCTAAAAAGATCAAGTTCTCATATCGTTTTAAATCTGTTCCTATTCATTTATCAGCTTGAATTAAATAAAACTTCATTTTTCATCTTGTTTACGAATAGTTATTTGCGACGTCATGCGCGACCACGAATTAGGAATTGTGAACCATCGGAAAAGAAAATGTGAGGGTTATTGATGGTCTTTCTAGACAACTTTGATAGACAATTATTTAAGGTTTTATTTCAATTGTAAACTGGTATCTATCTCATACTTGTTAGTGTCCCTTACTAGCACTCACAAGCCAACCCAATGTGAGTATTTCAGTAACAGTCCACAGATGTGATTGCATAAATACAG